ATACATCCTTAAATGAGACGTTAGAATATATTTTAAACAAATTGGATGTACAATATTTCATTAAAGTTCTAATATGAAAAATCGACAAGCTTTAAGAATGCAAGAAATTATTAGATTGAAGTTAGTTAAGTTTAGGTAAAGCATTAAGTTCTTGAAATTATTCATGGTTTATTGCATGATTCATTATCTGATTATAATTATGATGTCTTATAATTTTATAATTAGAGTGCTTCGGCAAATATATTTGGTTTCGAGATTTATGAGCGGGGATGTACGGCGCCCATTCCTGTTTTACTTACTCCCTTCGATGGGAGACCACGAGAGTCAGAGTCTTACGTCCTTTTCCTTCGCCGAAAGATAACTGCGTGAGAGATGAGAAAGCAAGAAAAACAGAGAATCCTCGGTTCACATATTACCGCCTGGACGCGGCGCCTCAAAAGAAACCGCGAGACGTCCTGGAATTAGAATCGTTATACTCCGTGCAGACGTAGCTGGTACATACAACCCCTTTCATAAGTCTTAGACATTTTTTTAGTATTTGATAAATATTCTAACTTAGTATTCGTCATAAGCCAGGATAAAATACGTAATTATAACCAGATAACATATTATACAATAAATCATGAGTAAATTCATATTAAAAGCAATTGTGCTCAATTTTTATGATTCGATAGTTAAAATATCTGAAATCCGTTGGAATAATGAAACTGGAGCGTAAAACGTTGACCTGCATGTAAAATAGTTAAAAAATTGACTGGAACAATAGCATTGAAAAACTGGAAACTGACAAAAACGTTTTTTGCCACTCCCACTGACTGAAATGTCGCATGTGGAAAAAAACTTTTTGATCAATGCGAAATCAGATAGAAGCACTCGATAAATGAGAACAGGACAATCAATAATTGTTTTATACATTCCATTGTACGTAAACATAGGATATTGCAGCTTTATATATTCTTTTTTTTTTCATTTATCGTTTACTTCGCTCCACGCTGTATATCATGTCTGACGGAAAACTTTCTGCCGTGTTCAGCAATACGTTTTGCGATGCGTGCTGTACGACTTATAAACAGCGATGTACATTCTCAGCACGAATAGATTTTCCTCGAGACACAGTGTATTAGCATTCGACTCGTGGAAACGGTAAACGGCGCAGCATAAATTCGTCGAATCGATAGGGTGGACGATATATTTGTCGATTGCATGAATGAATAAGCTCAGGCGAGGCGAGCGAAAACGTATACAAGGGAGACGGTTGTCTTCCGTCCGAACTCCATTACGTGTAAAACAATATTGGCTCGGGGTGGTCAATGCCGTCAATGTTTATAACTAATTACCATCGGTAGAAGGGAGACGAGACGAATGGTAGAAACGATGCAACGGCCCTTTGAATAACATTCTGGACCAGGTAGACGGCCGGAATGGGAGACGTGGGGGGGCGGGAAGGGGGCGAACGGTGAATTAGATGACGCGGGTGGGCAGGGAGTTTCATTTTGAACGACGAGCATTCTCTCGGTCCCGGGCTCGATCTAAACGGGCAATATTAGCTATTGACTTTGGCTCATGGGGTTTGTCGACGGCCCGGCTAAGTGATGGCGTTCGGAGGGAAACGTTTCGATCCTGTCTCGTCGCTGCGAGCGCCCGGCTAATTTCCACCAGAAATAAAACCGTCTACGGTGTTAACGATAGAACCCGAGAACCAGTTCTCTGTTTCCCTTTCGCGTTCGTTCGATTGTCGTTACAGCTGTCGACCTGTCCCGGGTTCACGATCCTGCTCACCCGATGTTCGTGACCTATCCACAAAGCTTCCCGTTGGGGTTCACGGACGCTCGTAAAGCTTGGCGTCGCGCCGTGCCGCGCACCTATGCGCGTTTTCATGTTCTTACTCCCAGCAGTTTGTCTCTTTCGAATGGCACATGGTATAAATGGAAGTTTCTTTTCGAACGGACTTTTATCCCGGCCGGTTTCGTATTCACCGCACGCCTCGGGGCGGGTAACTTGGCGAAGAAAAGACTTCGATAAAATCTCGCCTACGGCGCGGCCACGTATTTATTTGGTGGCGAACGAGCGAGAAGGGTACGCGCAAAGTCGACGACTCCAGGAGGCTAATATATTTCAAATCGTGAGGCAACGGGATTTACGGTCAGTCCAGTTCGATGAGGGTGCACACGATTGGTAGACAGTGTACCCGTATTCGAAACCTAAATAGCAGTCTTTGAAAATTGTTTCGAGTTAACTAATCTCGGTTTCTGTCGGCCCTGTCGTCTCGTTCAAGTTTAATTACCAGGCGTAGACAGACACCTTGAGTAAAAGTGACGCGGTACGGGATAAAGAGAAGTTACCGTGTTCACAAAGGTTATTGCGCAATACAGAGACAATTTGCCACGTCTCCCGGGTTCCCATAATTATTCATTTTCCCGCGCGCGATTTACCTTAATTTAATTGCAAACGATGGCTCGTCGCTTTGCCGGAGATACGAGTTCTCTCCCCGCCGCCGTCGGTAATAACCCTTCCGCGGGCTGGCTTTAATATAAACTGCGATTTAATTGCCGAGCTGCCTTGATAAATCATGCATCGGTTATAAATTTTCCAAAAGGACTCGTTACGTATTACTGACGATAAAAAGGTAATTGGGTCTTATCGGTGGATAATGTCGTTTAACGAGAGAAAAAACACCCAATTCGGATTCTCTTATTCTCGTTCATTACGGGCTGGGCAAAATATTAAATGGACCGCAGGAATCCGCGGATTGTGCCGGCCAAATTCATGCCGAATCGACGTTGATTTCGTTCCAACGTTTCAACTCGATTGTGTTCATTCCGTAATCAACGATCATCGCTTTTGTCATTAAAATTCATTCAGTGGATTGTAATACGTTCAATACAAATACTCTGTGTGATTTGCTGGTCTTCCGAGCGCAGCAGAGTTTTGAACGCTCACGTCGTGGAAACGAGGCAATTAAACGAAGGGTGAGGGTAAGGAATTCTAGAGGCTGCTCGACTCCTTAGTTGGCACCGATCTG